CTGCCATGTGTGCCCCGCTTCTAGTTTGATAGTCTTAGTTGACTGGGTAAACATCGGCACATGGATCCACTTGGCATACATCGTCGCTAGGTCCTTGTGTGTGCCAACAGTTTTTTGGGATGTTTTGAGTTCAGAAATACTTTTAAAAATTCCAAAAAAGCATTTAAACTTGAAAAATCATAAGAAATTGATATGAATTCAGATTTATGCAAATAGTATACGAAATGTTTAAAAATATCGCATATATGTGCATTTCATTTGCATTCATGTGTGAAAACCAGTACTTTAAACCTGATTCGGGTAAATAACTTAAATTGGCCTTTTAATACTTATTCGAGTTGTTGGAAATGCTATAACTATGCATTTGAAATAATTCAAATAGCTTTTGTTATGTTGCATTAGATCAATTTCAAATAACACTATGGCATGCCATGGATCTCATATCATGATCACTTTGGTGTCTTGATTGTAGTAGTAAATGCCTTGTCTTACGCTTTCCTGGTGTTTGTGCTTCTTCTTGATAGGACCCAAAGTTGATATGAACAATGAGAAAGATCTAAGCAGTGCGAGTCGCTGATGGAAGACAAGGAAAATCGCTTGATCATATGGGCGTCAACGACGTCTATGCCAATAGATGGAATGGATCCTGCCAACGTCGCCTTCATCTGTATCGGAACAACGGGAACGACCCCTCATTTCAACTGGCCAGGTGGGCCCCTTCCATTGGTGGCTCATCCCTCCATCTTTTGCATTAGTATTGTATGTTCCCATCAATATAAAGGATTCCTCTGCAAATATTATATTTCAAACAACGGGTGCCTCTACAAACTTTCAATTAAACTCCTAGATTATTCCGTAAATCCTCCTCATGATTAAATAATCTCAAAAGCACGTTACCATGGAATGGGAATACTTATGGTGATAACGGGCCACCCTGATGGAGGCCCCAAGTGGGAGAGAACAGATCAGGTACTGGACCATTAATTCAACTGGAGCTGATATTTAATGGGTGAGACGCATTCGAAAATGAGGTCCACCCACTTGGAGTCAAAACCCAGCTTAAAAGTAATACTTCTCAAGAAATTCCACTCCACCTGGTCATATGAATTGTGCATACCAAGCTTGACATAAAAAACACAAAACCTTCCTTTCCTTTTTCTTCTTTGTAGTATGATAACGCTTGTATGCCACCAAATCATTATTAGTAATCATGCACCATGGAAAGAAAGTGCTTGCTTATGGCAAGAATTATCTCGGGCAGCATACTCTTCAAACAGATAGCAACATTTCCTCATAACTTTATAAACTACATTGCGTGAAGAAAAATGGCTGGAACTGATTACGGATTTGGGGTTATCAAATTTTGGAATAGAAACCACCATTTACAGTTACATCCATCCAGAACCATGCACGAGTTGAGTGCTTGTAACACATTATGGAATCATGCAATCATCTGTATTACATAGTTAGTTGATTTACTGAAACAATAAGCGTCAACACGCACGGATTATTCCTCCTGCTTTTGCATGGCCCTTGATTAAGATGCTCCATTTTGTTGATTGCTTGCTTAATGCTTGACTTGAGTAAATTGTTATGGGAGTTATACTTGCAGCTTGCAGCACTGTCACTCTTCATATGCTGCCACTTGCTGCAAACATGCTGCACTTTAGATGCAACCGTGCAAGAGAACGGTCTGTGTAATTCAACAAAATAGTTTCTACGAAGTTCACTGTATTTTTAGCTGCCCCCTGGACACTCGGTGCAAATGTGAATGATGTAGTTTGTTACCGTTTTGTTATACTTGTTTAGCTACCCTTGAAAATGAGTGTGTAGCTTTCTCAGGTGCCTCTCTCGTATGTTTCACATTCTCTATGCACCATGCTGCTCACTATTTATTATATGCATGATCGAAGAGCAAACATGAACTTGTCATCCGTGCTAAACCATAGGTGGCACTTTTTATTTTATAAATTCATGAAATCATATACAGAATCTAATAAACCTCCCAAGTATATGATATGTGTACACTGGACTTCCCTATAAGAACGAAAATTATATACAAGACATTGGACCGACAAGTGGTATCAACAACCTGCGCTCACCTTTATTTCGAAACTCACTCATCCGACCAGGTGATGCCCTCCATGCCAACGTTCTGGTCAAGCCCCAAGGCATTCCACACCGCAGGAGAGGTGTCGACGATGTTGTTGGCACACGGGGGCTCGTAGTTGTGGTCTTCGTCGCAGCCATAGACGGAGTCGCACTCATCCACCACCTTGGCATACACAGACTTGCCATTGGCGCTGATCTTGATGCGGTGCCCGCAACGGGCCATGTTCTTGAACCAGCCGGTGGAGAGCGCAACGACCATCTCCTTGTCGCTATGGTAGGCGTTGTCACACTCGGACGGACCGCCGCCGTCCTTGCCCTTCTCGAAGCTGTTGAGCGTCAAGACGGCCTTGGTGGTCGCGGTGACCGGCGGCGAGCAGTGGTACTGCGGGTATCTCTTGCCATCCTCGCAGCAGTCGGGGTCGTTGCTCTTCTCACAGTTGCCTGACTTTCCTGGAAGGTAGCCACTTGCACGGCACACACCGAGACCTGGGCGGAGCGAGGACGCGATGTGGGAGGTGGAGAGTGCCGCCAGGAGGAAAACTGCCATGGTGGCTAGAGCTCTTGCAGTGGCCATCTTACCTACTGAACAGCGCGGAACTCTAACGCTCGTCTACTTCTTCTTTTTGCTGCTACGGTACTGGTTTGTTTCCCTCGATTGATTGTGCTGTGTGGTTAGACAGCTGCAGGGTCGACTTTATATAGTGCTTCTGCTAGTTCAGTCATGAGCACCAACTTGTTGCATGTTCTCCACGGCAAATCATTGATGAGTTCAGACAGGGCACTGGTCCGTAACGTCTCAAATGGATTGTTATAATACTAGGTCGGACGTATATATATATTGTGTCTCATTGAGCATGCCCTTGGGAAAGACAGACGGAGACATGATTACACCGACGATAAAAATATTGCAGAACAGGTTCAAAGAACTGAATGAATTGATAGCAACATTCTTTATACTATTCTATTTCTACCACACTTCTTGCCGGTGCCTTCAACCATGACAGACACTGAGGGTCACTGAAATATAGAAAACTTCGTTAGATAGATAAGTATTATGTTAAGCTATCATGTGTTTTCATTCCACTAAAATAGTATAGCACAGCTCGATGCCAGACACTGTTTCTTTTTTGCCAATATCGTCTAGTTCTTGCAGGTCTTGCCGTGTGTTTTTTTTTGGCGGGATATTTGCACCTATAGTTACGTGGGACTTCCTCTTCCAACCATACTAGCTTGTCCAAAACCTGTACCTATGTAAAATGCCACATATTTATTAGATCTGGAGTATTAAGTTACACATATGTCTCTTTTTTCCGCTTGGGGCCAGTTGAGGTTGAAAATTTATCAGCTTCATGCATTCCTGTCGAATTCGACGGACATGTAAACCGGGGCCCATCATTTGATATTGACAGGTCCACTTATTATTCAGGCCCCAGGTGAACCGCTCGATCCGGATTTTCCTGGTCGGCGATTCTAGCCGCAACCTTGAGCCTCTCCTCTGTACGTTGGTCGTGGCGGCAACGCTGGCCTCCACCTCGGGAGATCCAATCTTCACCTCGTCTTCCCAACCACGGATAAACAACAATGGATGTGCATGCGTCGGCGCGTTAAGACCTTGCTGCCACAAGCGACGCGAGTGACGCGGGCCCAGTCCATCT